GTTGTGGGAAGCAGTGAGGCCAAGAAGAACGTCTGTACCAGAAAGTCATTTTGTAATGTACTCGCTACTGCTGTGTGCCTTTGAGTCCTGACACCTTCTTACTCTGGCATGGAATCACTAATCCTCCTTTTCCTTGCAGATTGCCCAGATTGATATGCTGAAGGCTGCAGGTCTGCAGCCTGATGGGATTTTGGGCCACTCGGTGGGAGAACTAGCTTGTGGCTATGCAGATAACTCCTTAAGTCATGAAGAAGCCATTCTTTCTGCTTATTGGCGAGGACGATGCGTTAAAGATGCCTCATTGCCCCCAGGAGCAATGGCTGCTGTTGGTAGGTATACCCTTACCAGAAGAGCGACACAGGAAAGTACATTTGATCTCCGTTGTATGGCATTGGGAGAAAATTGGGCTCTGAAATGCATTGGTGGAGACGATCATGTCTGTAAAATTTTGGCTACTGTTGCCTCTTTTTTCATTTTTTTCCCCTTGCAATGTAGAACAGGTTATTAAATATTGAAGTTGATATAATGGTAGTACTCTCTGACCTGGAGCACAGCAGAATTTTGGTAATCCAACCGAAACTAAGTGGAAATAGATTTATTGACAGGTGACCAATGACAGGGGCCTGATAAATAACCTCCTTGAAAAGAGAGGTGAAAATCTAAGGCACTGGGATTTTTCTCTCTTGATACAGAGGTAGCTAGCTAGGGGGGTGCGTGTATACACACACATATATATTTAAATTACTGGAAAAAAATAAAGGGAGATACTTCTGATTGTCTGCAAGAGTAATGAGACGTGAAACCAGTAAGCCACTGTTACGTAGTGGGCAACTGGCTAGTGGAACTTCATGCCATTAGAACTTACTTACACCTGATAGCACTTAGGAAGAAGCTTTCTCGAACAAGCTTTGCTCAGTGTTTCTATAAGTCATATAGTTTTGTCCGCTATTGGGTGAAACTTTGAGCTTTGGACCCAGCAGTTTGTCTTCATGGTGTGGCTTCATGGTGACTTAATGTTTAGAAGTAAAATTGTTACTGGGAGCATTGTTGTTTTGTTTCTTATTGTTGGATGCAGCGGTCAATTAAAAACTGAAGCACTTAAGAGAAAAGCTGTTGTAGGTCTAATGCAGTATGTTTGATGACTAGATCACTTGTTATAGTCCTAGTCTTCTTACTTTAACTAATGCTGCAAAGGACTGCCTAACTAATTTAGCTTTCTTTTCCTTGATACTAAATACATGACACTTATCACAGAACTTATCTTGGAGTGCTGCGTATAATATGTTTTTCATAATACGATGCTGAGTTCAAGTTCTTCCTTCAACTTCTATCCATGTAATATATGACCAGTTGCTGCACGTGTTAAGCTAGTTTAAGCCACTAGAGCTGTTGATTTCTATGGATATTTTGTGGCGCGCTCTGTTTCTGTGAGTCAAGCTCACATGTTATCTCTCCTGTTCTAGCTTGGATTGCTATGGGCAAGATCAGACAAAACAACCAATTCTGCAGCTTCTTTGAAAGTGTGTGGGTTCCTCCCCACCCTATCCCTTAATGGGATGGTACAAAGATTCAGTCCTCTGTTCTTGTGCTCAATATCACAGTGATAAATGTCATGTTAAAGCCCTGAGATAAGTATCCTTAGCTTTTGCAGAATCACTTTTGGGGAAAGGAGGGATGTCTGTCTTTCTCTTAAGAATCCTTCCCAGTTTTGCAAAATGCTGAATTAAGCACAGTGCTTGTGCAGTCAAGATTGCCTCCCCTTATGAGGCTCACTGCTAGAAACACTTGTGTTGTCCTGAGGTCTTCCTTTTACAGGTCTGACATGGGAGGAATGTAAACAATGCTGTCCTCCAAAGGTGGTACCAGCCTGTCACAACTGTGAAGATACTGTCACCATTTCGGGGCCTCTGGTGAGCAAGGAAATGATACTGTGCATGCTGGAGTTGTGACTGGGACCTGTGAAGTTCCAGTTTGAACAAACGGTGAAGCTGAGTTAAAGCTCGCCTGCTTGCAAAGGGGAGCTGCATTAAAGTGGTGGGAGGGGATATGGTGCTTGGTATAATCTTAAACACTCAAATGTTCTGTGAGAGGAAGCGATATTAGTGCCTCAGTAAGCTAGTAATAAAAGATCTGTTATGCTGAATAGTGTTATAGCTATGGGTGTAATGAGTGACAAATTAGAAGACTGAGAAGGGTAATAACCTTGTCCCAGATATGGCTCCCCTTAAGCGGCAAGTGATGAAGGGCATGGGGGGAGTACAGTGACTAATACAGATCCCAGATATATTGTGAGATTTTATTTTTAGTTCACTTATATTCCTCTTCTTAGGACTCTGTGAATGAGTTTATAGCCAAACTGAAAAAGGACGGTGTGTTCGCAAAGGAGGTGCGCTGTGGTGGAGTCGCGTTTCATTCCTATTACATGGCATCCATTGCACCAGTGCTGCTCAGTGTCATGAAAAAGGTAATATTGCCAAAGTATGGCTCGCGTGGCTTATGCTCAGGCACCTGGATTTGAGTATAGGTGATGTTGAGCTTAAGGGGACTCCTTTCTTGAGGAGGAGAAGAAAATCTCTTGAAGAGCACGTAGACCTCTGTGAGACCTAAGGTTTGAAGTCTTACAGTCTCAAGTGGAAGGATGTCCTGAGCAATCAAGCTGAGAAAAACGGCAAAAAGGAGGGGCTGCTTGCCTTTGCCTCTTTTTTTGTTATCTATGATATTGTAACTCTTCCCCCGTCCCTCTTCCTTGTCTGTCTGTCTGTAGCTCATTCCACACCCTAAACCTCGTTCAGCACGATGGATCAGTACATCTATCCCTGAATCTGAGTGGCAGAGTGATCTGGCTAGGTATAGCTCTGCAGAGTATCATGTGAACAACTTAGTGAATCCAGTGCTGTTCCACGAAGGCCTGAAGCATGTTCCGGAGAATGCTGTTGTAGTAGAGATTGCTCCACATGCTCTTTTACAGGTATTGTATTTGATTGTGTCAGTATGGTACCATATTGATATGCTGCTTCAGGAAGGAGATTGAGGGTCTGAGGACTAGGGAATACTGGGAGGTTTTTGTCCTCCCATCCCCTATTCTGAGAACACTTTCTCTCTCCAGTACTTTTGAGTCTCTCCTGGTTTTAACATTTTCTTGAATTTTTTTTTTCCCCCCTCTTTTTTTTTGGGGGGGTGCTGGTGGTATGATTATTTTTCTTTTGTTTGGTTTCCTTTTTGGGGGGTGGGGGGTGTATGTTAATACTTTTTTAAAAAAAAAAAAAAAAAATCCCAACACACTACCGCTTTCCCATCCAGACATTCACATTGTTGCCTTTATTCATTGCCATGCATTTCGGATAGCTGATAGTCAGCTCTCTGAACTGTGCAATAAGTAAGAAAAGCATTTCACTGTTTGGATCTACTGGAGAGTGTGTGCGAAAATTGGGGGGGGGG